CTGAACAAACAAGAACAAAAAACCAATACTCATTCTGAGATCCATAAGAGAAGTGAGAACACAGGGAAAACTATAGTCGCTCAAACTTGGAGGAAGGGAGGGAGTGTAGAGAAATACAGAGAATACAACTTACCAAAGTAGAAACCTCCACAGGAACTCTGGTTAGGGTGGGAAAACTTGAACCATAATTAGAATTACTGGAGACTTACTACAGACATGTGTATCAGTTTAAGTCTCCAGGGTGTGGGACCTATTTATTTTTAAAATAAATTTACCTCCAAAAGTTTGATTGGATTCGTAGTGAATAGCAGAGAAAAAATCCCCACTTGCTTCCAGCAGGGGGTTGAAGGAAAGGAGCAATTTTGAAATAAGCAGGGAATTCTGCTGTCCATAACAAGGCCTGCCCTTAAGAGAAGCTGTTTTACCAGAACCTGTGTTATTGAGATTTTATTGATATCCAGCCAACATCGGGGAAGAGAGATATCCCACTCAAGGTAGCTCTAAACTTCGATCCGAGAACTCTCCAAAAGTGGGGAAGAACTAAGAATAAGCATTTGTGAATTCACAATTCGCAGGCAAAGGCCCACCAAAAGACTATGTAGAATCACACAACTATAGAACGCTTTTTGTCCCACTACCACATTGCCAAAGACTTATTTACTGAAGTTCTTTGCAATCAGTACATCTTTTCCAGCTATCAAGAAAAAAATTACAAGCCATATGAAAAGGCAAAAAGCAATTTGAAGAGAAAGGGCAAAGATCAGAACTAAACTCATACATGATGGGGATGTTGGAATTACAGACTGGGAAGTTAAAACAACTATGATTTCTATACTTAGGGCTCTAGTGGTTAAAGTATACAGCAAGCAAGAACAGATGGGCAATGTGAGCAAAGAGATGGAAATTCTAAGAAATAAAAAGAAATGCTACAGGCCAAAATTATTGTAACAGAAAAGAATGGTTAATAGTGGGCTCTATGGACTTTATTACACTAAACATGGTTGATGAAAAAAAATGAGTTTGAAGATATGGCAAAGGAATCTTCAAAGCCAGGTGGGGTGGCAAATGACTGTGATCCCAGCACCTGAGAGGCTGAGGCAGGATGGTCCTGATTTTGAGGCCAGCCTGGACTTTAGGGAGACTTAGTCTCAAAAAAACTAACAAAAAATTTCCAAAGCAAAGAAAAAAATGTGATAAAATGAATCACAGTATCCAAGAACAATGAAGTAACTAGAAAACTGTTATATGTGCATAATGGCAGTTCTAAAGGGAGAAGAAAGGAACAGAAGTAACAATGACTGAGAATCTCCTCAACTCAGTGACAGATTTCTATCCACCACCTAAGAAGTTCAGTGAACAGAGAAAGGATTTAAGAAAGGGTCTTTTTTTGTTGTTGTTGTTCTGGACATTGAACTCAGGACCTTGTATTTATTTGCAAAGTAGGCGGTGGAACCACTAAACTAAATCCTCGGCCCCTTCTCTCCCTTTCCTTCTCCTCCCCTCCCCTCTCCTTTCTTTTCTTTTCCCCTTGGTACTGGGATTGAACTCATGCTAGGAAGAAGCATTCTACAACTGAGCTACATTCCATAACCCTGGTTTTTGTTTGTTTGGTTTGGTTGTTTTGTTTTTTTTTTTTTTTTTTTTTTTTTTTGTACCAGGGATTGTACTCAGGATCTTGCTCCTGTAAGGCAGTGACGGCACCACTGAGCTAAATTCCATAACCCTCTTTTAATTTCTTTTTAAAATTTTTTTGAGATAGGGCTCACTAAATTGTCCAGATTTGCCTCTAGTTTGTGATCCTTCTGCCTCAGCCTCACAAGGTGCTGGGGTTATAGGTGTGCACCACTCACCAGTTGGAAAGTGGATCTTGAAAAGCCATAAGCACTCCATACGTCTCCAGCTCTATGCAATGGAAACTGCATTCTATACTTAGAAGAATTATTTATTGGCTTGTTACCCCTAATGGAAATGGTGTGTGCAGGTATTATACAAGATGACACTCCTCATTAAGTTAATCTAATTAGTTTTACTTGTTCTGAATCACAATAAAAAAGAAACCCTAAAATATAATTTAGTTCCTGAAGTAATTACTATGAGGAGCTAATTTTCTGACCCCAAAATATGAATATTCCAATTGCTTTGGCAGATACATTTTTATTGTCAAGTTAATTCAGCGTCATTCTGAGGCTCTATCTGTGATATAAACTGAAAATTGTTGATATAAACTGAAATTCCTAATCCTGCCATCAAGTGAAATGTTGAGCACAGTCTGGGCCGATGGACTCAGGCAAGACACTTAACATTAATGTGGAGGTCTTTTATGACAAAAATCAGACCAGAAATATGCCTTTTTTTTTTTTTTTTTGGTACCAGGGATTGAACTCGGGTCCTTGTGCTTGCAAGGCAAGCCACCGAACCACTGATCTAGAAATATACTTTTAAAATATTAATCCATGTTACTTTAGAAGCTGCTAGGTCACAGTCTCATTAAGAAAGAATATTCTCAAGTTTTTGTGTCTTCCCTTCATGCTGAGGTTATTGCTTTGGGTCTCAGGGCATCTTGAAATCACCTTTAATTGCTCACCATAGGGCTGTGACTCTGTATGTACCGTGCACCCAGAGCTGTAAGATATACTATAGTCTCACTTGATTTCAAGCCAACTTTAAAGCACTGATAACTGATGATTGGTATTTTCTTCTAGACTAACATCCAATCTTAGGTTTCAAAAGAGAAGATTATTTTTAAAGCTTAACTAACATTTATATAAAAAACATTCCTAAGTCAAGGACTGATGCTTATTTTGTGCACCACTGAGTAAGCCAAAACCTAGTCCGAGCAACTTTACTCATCCAAGGCAGGCCAAATGGGTGGCTTCTCCAATTCGCCAAGAATATTACCTAAGCTGTGCCAAACGCCCTCAATTGTCTTTATATTCCAACGCTTGGTTTAAATATTCTCCTCTATCAAAACTGAGAAAGTCAAAGAAGCACCTGAAATAAAATCACTGCCCATCATATGCCTCATTTTCTTTTCAAAAGGAAATGGACGTGCATTATATAAGGAGATATACGGAGTAAGTGCAACTGACTGAGGACTGATATATCTAGCAACCACTTGAAGATGGAGAAACTGATAAAGTAAGATTGCTTTTGTTTTGGTTTTTGGTTTTTTGAGACAGGGTCTCACTGTGTAGTTGAAACTGCCCTGGAATTCACCATGTAGCCCAGGCTGGTCTCGAACTCACAGAGACCCTCCTGCCTCAGCCTCCGGAGTGCTGGGATTACAGGGGCGCGCCCCCACGCCTTTTTTTTTTTTTTTTTTTTTTTGTACCGGAGATAGAACTCAGGTCTTTGCACTTGGGAGGCAGGCGGTAGAACCACTGAGCTATATCCCCGGCCCCTGTTGTTTTTGATTTTTGAGATGGGGTCTTTCAAGCCCTTCTGTGAAGTTTTGACACGTTGAGTTTAATTTGCCTGCGAGATAACTGAGGAGAAATACTGAATGTAAAATGTAATTTCCGTATAAAACACTGAAGACATAATTTGCACGCAATTACTGTCAAGTCTGTCACGGTGGAGTGAGGGGCTGGGATTTAGCTCAGTGGTTCCAGCGCCTGCTTTACAAGCGCAAGGACCGGAGTTTGATTCCTGGTATCAAAAGAACAAGAACAACAACAAACAAACAACAGGAATTATGCACACTTAGGGCCGGGGATTTAGTTCAGTAGTTCCGCTTTATTTCACGTTGCAGGGAACCAGCCGCTACTGACAACAGTAAAGCAATGAGCATGACTGTGTTCCAATACAAATTTCAAACCCTGAAAGTTAAATTTCTAATTTTCATGTCAAAAATTTTGGTTTTTAAAAACTTTTTTATTTCTCTTAAGTTTTAAGTAGTGAGGTTTGTAAAACCTAAACATTTAGTCTCCAGCCGTTTATAGGAAGTTAGAATAATTCTTACAATGGAAACAAAATGGCATTAGTTGATCAGTCTCGAAGCTAATTAGTACTGAAGCTTTATTCCACAATTTACTTCTGTGTGTGCGCGCGCTTGGAACTGAACCAAGGTCCTCTAAACATACTTGTACTAAAAAATGATTAATAGTACGCGTTTTCTTCCCCTAAACAAAACAAAAACCTTTGAAAGTTGTAAACCTAGGCTGTAAAATCCGTTTGTCTTTTTTGTGGGTACGGGTGATCGAATTCAGGACCTCGTGCTTGCCAAGCAGGCGTGGCGCCACTGAGCTACACCAGCTCCCAAATTCGTTTGTCTTTAATTTTTTTTTTCCCAAAAAAGCGGTACCCCTTCAAAGTCTGCGGCAGTGGTGAAAGGAACCTTTTGCATTGGACCGTGACAGGGTAAATACCAGGCACAAACACAACTAAGAAAAAGGATTTTTTTCTTAGGGTTGTGTTATCTGCACATTAGTACAAATTCGTTGGCTCAGCCCCACTCCTACAAAGAAATCAAAACGAAGTCCCCTCTAGCTGTCACCAGAGGGATCCTCTCCCTCAGCTGCTTCGCGGAAGTGACGCCACAGCCGAAAGCTCCGCACATACATCTTCATGGGGGCGGGGTAGGGCGCTGACGTCGGCACACCGGTCCTGACTCGCGCACCCCGACTGAGGCTGCGCAGGTATGCTGGGCGGGGCCTTAGGTTACCCCGCCCCTATTCGGCCCTAGCAAGTAAGGCACTCCCGGGCCTATGCCTGAAGGCGGGGTAAATCCTCAGCGGCCGGAACGATCAGCCGAGGCGGCGCCCCGCCCC